GTAGTTTCCTCCTTCCTTTTCCGGTACAATTGCAGGGCTTCCTTTTTCTTCTTCTTCTTCTTCTTCTTCTTCACTTTCTAACTCACCACACAGCAGAAAACAATCCACTTTTAACACCGTGTATCACTCTGGTGTCTACAAGTGTGTTCAGGCTTCAGCATCCGCAGAACAAGAGCTTTGCAGAGATTTTGTAACTTCCAGTTAAAGGCATCTTTCATACCATAAACCTAGTCCTAGACTATAAACTTATTTCAGTGAAGGTCTTCAATGAATTTTCTTTTTTAGTGCAGGAACAGGCTTAATCCACATCTGGGGAAACCTGCTGCAAAAGATAGATGACAGCAAAAAGGTAATTTTTTGTTAAAAGGCCCAAACCCCCTCTTGGAACCGCCTACCTTCTGGTTTTGCAAACATGCACTTTACACTCTGAACTAAAAAAAACAAATAAGTGTAATTACTAACTACCTGTACTGTATATACGTTAAGTTTCTCTGATGAGTTACACGGTAAAAATCCCGATTTGTGCTTTGCTTTCCCTTTTAAAAAAGTCAAAGCAGGGCTTTACTTAGTCTTATAACACCATAAGAACAATCTGTTGTCACTGGATGTGTAATGCTGCACTAGCAATACCTGACAGTTAAGATGAGGTTTGCTGTGAAGTGGTTTCCAGTCTCAAGCTTTGTTTAATCTGTACAGTTTGTATGAATGCACGCACCTCCAGCAGCTCCACGTCCGTGTGGACTGCATTTGAACTTGAGTGCGCACACAAGCGGTGAGCTGTCAGTATTACCCTGGAGGAGGAAGGCCACAACCGAAAAACTGTTGTGGACAAGGTGCCCGTCAGGAAAAGACAGCTGAGGCCTGCGAGAGAGCCCGCGATCACTGACGTGCACGTGCAGACAAAGAAATAAAAGAAGGGTCGCGCTGTGTCGTTAACACCTCTTATGGCCACTTTTGACGGCGCTGCGCGTCACATTCACGGGCGATAATCCCTTATATTCCTAGAGGAGTTCCGAGGAGCCGAACTCCATTCATAAATTTCACGATTTCGTATCTCTCCCATCATCCACCTCTGAAGCCAATAACAAACTACGACCACAATCGACTTAAGAAACACCAACAGCCGCTGTCAAGTTCGCCTTAAATCCGACACATTAAGTAACACCTACTACTTCAGCAATATTTCAACTGCTTTGCCGCCTGTTCGGCATTCGTCCTGTGCCCACACAAACCCCGAATGACCTTTAAAAAATAATAGAAAATCAGTTTCCCAACCACGATTTAAGCGCAGTTGAGCAATAGCTACTCCAACAGCTACAATTATGCAAGGCCTGAAATCGTGCTCGACAAATGTGGCCCATGTTTGCCACTATTCACGGAACCGTAATGCCGCACATTTTAAACGAAGTTTGGGCTTGAGCTGCAAGGAACAAGTGGATGGGGGGGGATCGAGACATTTGCACCGTTGCAGTGAACGTATGTCACAGTCGTGCAGACAGACAGACTGGGCTTCCCCCCTGGCAGGAAGGCAGCATCACCAAACTTCACTACATCTGCGTCCGTTTCCTCTCTTACCACTTGAGCGCTCGCTCCTGGGTGCAGCCGCCGCGGCCGCGCCTCCTGTTGCGGCCGCACAGGCTCCATTTTCCTGCTCATCTCCGCTACTGTTCGTGCGTTTGCTTTTCTTTCCCTTGCTGCTCTTCTGGTTGGGCATTTTACAGGATTCGAGTGTCAAGTGTTATTTTCGACCTCTATCAACGGCTCCTGTCAGCGCTGTCTGACATTTCTGTGGACTCCATTTCAGCAGTGGACCCTTGCAGTGCTTTGTTTTTAATGCGGGCTTTTCTCTTTGTGGTGATGCTTTTGGGCCTCTTCTTGCACGGCGGGTTGAATTTAGTGCAGCAGGTCTAAGAAATAAGCTGGTATAACCTTTAGGAGCGAAGGCGTGTCCGTCTCTTGTTTTGATTCCTGCTCTGCTGTTCTCTTCCACCCCCTGACGTCACGGGACCCCGCCCCCTAGTGTTGACCGTCAGCGATTTAGGCTGCGTTTGCGTCCCGTGGGAAAGCTCGGAATTTGCTGCCTCTAAAGGCATGTTTCGGTTTTTAGTCAGGTATCAGATTTATTCCCCATACATAGAAAGTTCACAGAAAGGTCTTAGCAAAACAAAGCCTTAAAAGTTACTTCAACTTCACACCATATGATATTATTATATAATATCTTTCTCTATACTTATTTTACTGTACTGTATTTATTTTAATTAAATATTTTTTTAATTTCATTAAGCTATAGTTTTATGTCACATTATATACTATTGCCTTATGTACTCTACCACTTTCTCAAGCCATTTGTTATATACTTGTTATTGTTAATTTATTTTTTTCCCTAATTGTCCTATCATATCTTACTTAGCCATTATTTGTTTTTAAAAACTAAATAAAGAATCTTTTTTTCATATCTTTCTTAAAGGCAAAAGCCTGAATCTGACCATTTCATGGTTATGGTGAATTTCACCAAAATAAGTAAAATAAATAAATAGTTTAAATGTACCATACAGCCCACCTTTCCAGTGTGAAGCCACATGCACAGAAAATAACCCTAAAAACTACAAATTAGCTGCTGTTTCTCAGAATTTGAATGAATTGGTGGGCCAGATTTACATTTGCAAAGAACTATGCTTTAGTTTGACACGTGGCCGAGTAGTTTAAAAATTAATCAGATTCTTGACTGACTGTGATAGCATTAGTAAATTAATTGTGTTATTTCTAAGCTAGAAGAATACAGTAATTTGTTACTTGTCAGTACCTTTGTTATACCTCATTATAAAAGTACTTTTATTTGTCTACAGTGTTGTTATGACAGTGTTCCAGCGTCATCACCCATCCTCAAAATTTCCCCACTTAATGCTTCATTTAAAAAAAATAATTATGCCAATTCGAGATTAGTTATGGGAAAGTTCATTCTCCAAGTTGCTATTGAAGTGTTCACAACAATAGTAACTATCAGTGCTATCAATAGCATTGTAAATGTATACTTATCTCCATAGATAAGCATAAATGGTGATCATTAAAACACACACACACGTTACACAGCCTCTGGTTAACTATTTACATGAAGCGGCAGCCTCAGTTGGCACTAAAGTGAACGATAGAAGAGGATGGGAAGTAATCAGCACCACATACATGTGGGGAAGTATCACTGCCTCATTCAGGATACCTGAATGTGCAGCTTCACAGCAAAACAGTATTCAAGGGTGCAGTAAATGTGTAACTCGCCGAATCTGTATGCCAATATAAGTAATTAAATCAGATAATTTACAACAGGGATGAATGAAAAGATTGATTGAAATGAAGTGAGAATATGTTATCAGCAGGAACCAGACTCCATTCATAAATCAGACAATTTACAGACCTTGCTTGTAGGGTACTGCTCAAAGCTGGTAAAACCTGACTAAAGATGATTTATGAAACAGCAGCCATCATGCTATAATTCAGCTTACAGTCAACACCCCAAGCAACAAATGTTTTCATAATGATGCTAATAAGTTTGCCATTACCACAGTATTCTCACACCACACCATAGTGGCCCATAAACCATTACACAATCTTTTATTACAGTGCTTAGATGAGTATCTTCCTCAGTTTAACATCTAGAGTCATAAAACACACAAGGAGACAAACAACAAAGAAGTTTCAAGGCTTCGCATGTAAAGATTTTATTCCTTGGAATGTATTCCACAGTAACACAAACCTCTTGTAGGAATGTGTTATTGCCAATAGAAAACACAGTAATGACACACTTGAACACATCACACAGGCGTCCCACTTGTTCACAGAAATGGCTCGAGGTATTGGCTCGGCAGTGATCATTACGTTCTCCCTCCTGCCAAACGTTCGCTTGTAATTTGCATTTGTGCTTCGAAAGTCACGCCTGAGCATCAGCAGGATGGCAAGCAGCACGTTTCTGTGATCAGGTTACAGTTTAGTTTCATTCATAATCGAGCTGGATCCATTTGTGCCATTGATACTGAGAAAGAGAGAAATACACATTTCAAGTCAAGCTTAAACAAATACACCTGAATGTAAAATATTTAGCAAGTCTGACACAACAGCAGTGAACGTGACATGGGTCAAAAAAAACTAGCAGACCAGGTGTCGTTTTACAAGGCTGATAACCAGCTTCTTATCACGAGAAGAAGAAAAATGTGACTGATAACATGATGGAGGCCTAATTTTAAAACAGAAAAAAAGGATATGACTTTATTAAAGAGGTGTCAGCTACAAGATGTTACACATTCAAACAGCTTCAAGATTTTCCAAATGTATGGAGGCCCAAAGTGCTCAAAACGATATTAATTTACATTAAATGACTTAACTAAGATAAATTGTGTTTTTGTCATGCCTGGTCTGCTAAGTTTTGTTTGACCTACAGTACAAAACAGTGCTAAAATTAAAGAAACTAACAAAACTGCAAATGCACCTTTTGTATCTCTAATTTAAGCCGCAGCACGATAGTTAAACAGATTTTGGTTGCTTTGTTTTGGTCCTGAGTCACCTTTAGCATTTGGCACCAACCACCCTGTAATTATACATTAATAAAAACTGCACAAAAAATACATTCGCCATTGCTCATCAGCTATTTCTATGAAAAGGCAATTTTTGGAGTTTGTTTAGCAGAGAAATTTCACTAATGACTACGTATAAAAAGATGGAATAAAAACGACTTTAGCACATCGCAGTACAAAAAAAAAAGGTTTTTTTTGTTTGTTTTTTTTAAATGCACTTGAGCTGTCATTTAGTTAGTTTCTATCACGGAGATGTTCTTGAATTTCCAAAAGCCCTGGTCAAATAAGAGGTAGTAGACATGTCTTGTGTAAACAATTACTGGAATGGCCGTTTGGTGGCACAGTTGGAGAGCACACACTACCCTTTGTCTCAGAGCTGGACAAGATTTTAAAGCAGTTACACTCACCAAGTAATGAGGTCGTAACTCCCACTACCAAAGGGAGGATTAGCCTAGTGCAGCTTGGTATCAGTCACAAACAATTAGAGAGAGCAAATGAAAAGTGTACAGTAGTTTGCTAAAGCAGCTAAATCTAGTGAGCATGCTGTCCTGTGGGTCATCTCAGGTTATGATAATAAACTGTAGAGAGGCAACAGAATGCATTAGCACAAAGTATTATATTCCTGATCTGTGGTCAAAATCACTACTTAATTTGTCACATAGAAAGCAAAAAAAACAAAACAATCTTATGCAGACATGCCAGCTGAGTCTGCCAGTGTACTGTTAGGTCAAATCCGATTGGTTATTGCAGTTCAGTTCAAATACTGAGCCTTGTGAAGGAAAGACCCGCAGCTGCTAGAAGGCTGTCCTATCCCAACACCGGCTTCTCATTCTTGGAGCAGGATGACGTCAACGTTGTCGTGGACGCCCTGCAGAAGCAGCTCCCCCTGGAAATCGATCACCTTCTTCTTCTTGGCGGCCTTCAGGGTGCCCACCAGCGCTTCGAAGATGTTGGCACAACGGTCGTCATTAAACAAGACCCCGAACTTTACGCTACATTTACCGTCAGCGTCTGAAATAAGAGATTTAAACGATTGTTACAGCTTCGGGCAGTCAATTAAAATGACTGTAGCGATTTCAATCTCAATTCAATTTCAAAATAAAAATGAAACAACCTAATTTTTTACTCCAATTAAAGTACCAAATCATTTCAATTGATCCCCACAATTACAGACATTCATGCCTATTATGTGTATTTGTAAAATAACTAATGGACACACCTGCATTAACTCAGAGTGGTTTGATCCACTGCCGTGTTTATAGAGGCCACCCTCCACAAACGTGGCAGTGCCACCCTGTTTCCAAAAAACCTTGACACACCCCTGCTGCAAATGGCATAACTCTGAGTTTATTTGTTTCCTGCTTTAGAAGTGGTCAGAACCACAAATCAACACTGGATGACTGCATGATTGTTGTTTATTAAAGCTCATGGGATAATATATCAAAGTACTTCAAGGCAAACCATGTCATTCAGCAATATACAATGACAGTTTTGACTTACTTTTACTGCCGAGTCGTTGGATCTCTTGAACCAGCAAATCAATTTCATGGGAGACGTTCATTGTTGCTGCAGGCGAAACAAAATGCAAATAGTTGCATTAGCTTTAAATCTGACGTCACGGTTTTGAGTGCACTAGACATGAAACTAAACAATTAAACCTGTGTTGCACAATTCTGACCCAACTTGTCTATTTACTACTGCAGTGCTTTAGATTATTATGGTTGATTTATAACTCTGCTGCCAGGGCGTTTGGCCAGACTACATAAAACTTGGCTGCCTGTCAGCTCCTACATTGATTTTAAAATCTATTTACTTGTTTTTAAAAGCCCCTGATGGTCTTCTTGCTCCAGTATTCATGTCTCACATCCTCAGTGCGTAGGGTGCAGTATGGATGCTACATCCTGTGAGTAGTTCCAAAGTGCACGACAACACAGCTGAGGAGGCAGATTTTTTAACTTTTACACCCTGAGTCACGAAGCAGTCTGCTGTAGAGAAAGAGAGCAGCTGAAGTGTTGAAATCTTTAAACATCTTCAGCCCAGCTTTTGACTGAATATGGTAAACAGACAATTTATTTCTATTTACACTTTCCTCATTTGATCTAATCTGTAGATTTATTAAATTTGATCTAGCTTACATTTTTAAATCAATGAGTAGAGCTTATAGATTATTGTGCATTAAAGCACAATGAAGTCTATGCACTGTGATGCATTTTATTTTGTCTAATGTCTTCTATTGTACTTACAGGCCATTTTAAATGTAATTTTAGATCTTTTTTTTTTTTTTTACACGTTGAAAGTCTTACCATTACACATTACTTACTTTTTGTCTAATAAACATCCATGTAGCACTGTAAACAGACATACCTGGTGTCATCTGAACAAAATCTGACTGATTTATTGAGTGATCATCCACCAATAGAGGAATTTTCTGACTTTGGAAAAACAAGGCTAGATTTAACAACAAGTGCAGTAATTAAAGTTAGTTAAAGAGCTGCATTTCGTCAATAAGTATGCGCCAAATTTTCCTTTCTTTTTTTTTTACATTTTAGACAAAAGTCTTAACATTTGTTCTAATCATGAAATTGGGATTATCAGAACGGCGTTTTTTCAATTTTGTTCCTTTTGTGAAGGGTGTTTTGGGAGCTGGGGGACTTTCATTAAAAGAAAACAAACTCAAAGTCCAGTAAACCCATAAATAAATGTAATTTAATTATATATATCAGACACATATAAAGGCACTCGGTATGAGTACAACATATAAAAGAAGGACTGACTGCAGCACTGCAACAAGCTCCAACACGAGCAGGGCGGACTCATCAATGCGGAAGTAAGGGATTAGCGTTCACGGCTAGCCAAACCTGCTAATAAATACTTCTTGCAGTTGATTTATTTCAGAGATGTGCAGTCATTCTCAAGTGCTGAATAATATTAGCAGCTCGGCGATGTTTTACGCGACTTCAGGTGCAAAAGAAAAGACTCCTCTGAGTGGCAGATGTGAGCTCGCCGGTATGATTAGCTTCTAACATCCGACAAATCCTCCGCTGAGAGGGGAGCGAGGAGTTGTTCAGACCGATGAACGGTTGGAATAAATGATGGAAAGCGATGTAACACAAGCGAATATAACACCGACACAAGGATATGAATTTTACCTGATTACTTGGGCTTGTTTTTGCTTGTAATGAGGTGAGGGACGACTTTCTGATGAATCGGCACCGGTGGAAAATGATGCTGCGTTCAGAGTGCGCTCGGAGAACTCCACCCTTTAGAAATGGAACAACAAAGTGGTGTAAAACGAACGGAGTGAAGGTGTTTAATATTCAAAAAAATAAGAATATTAAACAGAAGCATGAGATCACTAAGTTATCTTAGTAAGAATATGCATGTAAAGATAATGCAGTGTTAGTGTTTATTTATATAGCACATGTGCGAAGCTCTACAATGTCTCCAGGCAATAAAAACAACAGAACAAAAACTTTACAAACACATAAGATAGAAGTTGTCACACCTGTTTTAAGCCTGTTTTTTTAAGTACACACAGCTGTAATTGACCTGTGGGAGCAATTTAAAGATCTGTACCCGATGTCCTGAGATGTCTTTTCCTTAGGATCAAAGTATTCTACAACAAAACACAAGACAACAACAACAACAACAAAAATCCCTTCACAATAGAGCCCAACCAATATTTTGTTTTGGGAGCCAACACTAGTATTTAGGTCGTAAACAAATCCAGTAATGGTTTATATTATAAATGAGGTAATTATTAACTGTAGTTCAAAAGCTAGTTACTTTGAGGACACTCCTTGTATGCTGTAAAGTCACGAAATGTATGCTATTCCCCACAAACTGCAGTTTACAATGTGTATAATGTTCCCCCCATAAATCAGAAGTACAGAAGCTCTTGTCCAACAAGCCACAAATTTCAGACATTTCCGCGATTAACTAATAATTACCTACTCGTAGTGGAATGCTGTGAAAATGTGCAACTGTTTTCATTTACTGGCTTAATTTGAGTAGATGTGACAAATTTCCTACAACATATGAAGGCAACACGAGCGCTCATCTGACTTCATCGTGACACGCTGCCGATAGTTTGATGGGCTGTGGCCCATATAAGGTATTGAAGAGGCAGGAGACCGCGTGTTGTCCTACGTTTCGGCCTCTCCAAACTATTTCTTGCGTCTCCAAGAAACACACAGGTGCTCAGCGAGCACAAGTCCCATTGCAACACAGAAAGAGCTTGTTAGAATAGTGTGCTGACTCCAAATGCTGTTACTTTTTGTTCTGCACATTGAACTCTATTCTTCTCCACCCCATCCCTATACCTCTTATGCATGCACTGCAAATAACAAAGCAGTGACTCCATCATCATAGTGTTTAGAACAATGGAAAATATTACATATGTGAAGGATTACTAACCGAGCAAAGGCATAAAAACTCAGAGGGCCCCAAAAAGCTGCAGTTATTCAACAAGTTTATTAAAAATATGTATCAAAATGCAGTTTAATTAACATGTTCTTTATTTTATTTTATGTTTAAAGAGCACTATACAGAACTAGTGAGAAGCAGATCTTAAAAATGTTTTTTTTCCCCAAGTAGCTGACTGTTGCAAATGTGTCACCAAGACGTCAAGACGGTTCCAACAAGAACCAGAGTGAAATAAATAGAAAATAATTTATTGTTTTGTTACATAGTTCCAAGAAACGACTTTATGTGTGAAAACATTTCAAATGGCCACACAACTAATCATTGGAGTTAAATGTCAGAATATCAGACACAAAAAAACAACAACAATGGGCGACTTATTT